AAAGCCTTGAAAACGTCATCGAAATGCGTACTCCACTGCGAGCAGATTGGTCCCACGTTACAGCGGGATGAGAGTTATGAAAAATTATTCCCACAGCAGAACTCATTCAGCGTCGTATCCTGTAAGCTGGAGCTGGAGCTGGAGTGCACGAAGGCAAAGGCCAACATACTATTCCCACGATGAAAATGCGTAACGCCATTCTAAATCATAAGCGAGAGCTCGAGAAGCAGCCGGAAGGATGCACCCATCCCCTTCGCCCCACCCATCCCCTTCGCCCCACCCATCCCCTTCGCCCCACCCATCCCCTTCGCCCCACCCATCCCCTTCGCCCCACCCATCCCCTCCATCGCCCCACCCACCCCCTCCATCGCCAGGACTCGTCTTCCTCGACGAGGAGAGCCTTCCAACGATCCGGAATTCGCAGCCGTCCTTGCTCGAAATCCGAGCGACGAAGGGAGGACACCGAGGTGATCGAGAGACCCACGGAGGGAGCGCTCAGCTTTTTTTCTTTCGAATGGTCTCGTGCGAATCCGGACGCGAGAGACTCGTCAGATTCTGGTTCCTGGGCGTACACGAATCATAAAAAAAAGCCGAACTACGACCGAAAATAAACTAAAGACGTTTCCGGTCGAGCGACCAAAGCGACCAGTTGCGTTCGATCGGGATTGGAATTGGAACAGACTAATGAGTCCAGACCTACTTTTCAAGCGTTCTGATCAAGTTTTTTTTTTGTGGCAAATTATTCATCTTCAAATAATGTTGACACCGTTACGAAGAAGTAATGATTCATCTCTATAATGCACCATTTAGTCTAATAAATTAACATCACCAAATGTTTTCACGGGCAATTTCACCGCCAGACTCCATGCATTTAACTCCAAATTCTCCTTCTGTATTTTCACCAGATGCCACGAAACGACCACCAGACTTCATCGACTCGGCACCAAAAAATCGTCACAATTTACATATCGCAAGAAACAAAAGATTTCTGATTCGGCGCGCCTGCAGAAGCCTCCTCCTCGTCTGTCCTCTGTCCAACGGGGGAAAGAGCCAGCTTCCGACGATGACCTCCAGGGCGCGGATCCGCATTTCCCAGCGGATGCAGGCGCGAAGAACCGAAAGTCGGACGGCAAGAGAGGAC